CTGAGAGAAAGATAAAGATGAGTCTTGCGGCGGTGAGGCGGGGAATTTCAAATACTGCGTGTTATGTCATTGTATGTGGTGAGGCTTCATGTGTACAATTTTGGCTGTTTGGTTCATGCATCAAATGTTTACTGTCCAGGGGAGTTAGTGAACTGAGGGGCTTCTCTTGACCAGAAGAGAATAAATGAGATTGGGCTGTGAAAGTAGCAAACTGTCAGCAGTAAAGGGCTGCTGGGTGTCCATCCATCCATGCTGTGTGGGGGAAGAGGCAGAGGGAGCCTGGCAGGGCAAGGATAGAGCTGTAGAGTGCTAGTGATGTGAGAACAAGTGGAATTGAGTATGGAAGTGAAAATACTTCTAGCTACTAGGCGAAGGGTGAGAGTCAGAGAGCACCTTTCAATGGGAGCAATTGGGTTTTAAAAGCAAAACTATTTTGGAGACTAAATTAGATCAGCTTATTACAGAAATTTATGGCCTGTCTGTGTGGGAGAACAGGGGATTGTGTTCCCAGTCCTGCCTCCAAGAGCCCTGTCGGGTTCCTGCTCAGTTATGTGAGTTACTTTTGTGCAGTCTGCCCTCTGCTTTTCCAGATGGGCTTTGAGAATTTATGCTGTGTGGGAGAAATGACAATTTGGACAAGTACAACAGTACAGTAGCTGTGATTCAGGTAGCTGATAGCAACTTTAGATTTTGTTTATGGTTAACTGGAGGGCAGGCAGTTGGGTTTGCATTACATGTACAATTCAAAAATCCATTACTTTCTTTAAGAAAAAAAAAAAAGGTGCCTTAGTTTGTATCTCTCCAAATATTTCAAGAGAAATCTATGTGCATGTATATATATTTGTTTTCAGCATGCCCTTCTCCATCTGTCCCGATGTTCAATTAAAACACAGATAATGTGTCCTGGCTTGTAAGATGGATCAGTGCTGAAGTGGTGTCATGTCTAGGCTAGCCTGATAAATACCTCTGCTGTCCACTGAGAGATTAAACTTCATGACTACTGAGGTCCATTTGGGGGTCTTACAGGCAGATAAAACTGTGTTACTGGCTTTTAATAAAATGTATCAATTTATATTTGCTGAAGGACCTTCGGATGGCATTTGCTGTTGAGAAGGTGGCAGTGGCATAATCAAAAGATAATACTTGTATGTGAAACTGGCTCTTCTGTTTCATAAGTATTATAATTTATTGACAGGAGTGCTTTATTGAACCCTCTTGTGTCTAGAGCGTGGAGGTGAGGAGCTTGAGCTGCTGTTATAAGACCTGTCTAGCAGAAAAGATTTCTTTCTCTGAGACTAATCCAGCAGAAGCCGTGGAAGAACGTTATCAGCTAGGTACAGAAATCTCAGGCGGCTTGGGTGTGTGGGATGCACACGGATGCTGTGGTCTGGAGTTTGTCTTGTTATGAGAGCCATGCAGTCAGGGTTCCCACCATGGGGAACACTCTTTTCCTCCAGGGGGTTGAGTAGTGCTGGAATTGTTTAACTGAAGAGATGTTGAGTCGTGTAACAGGAGTGGTGAGCAGCCAGCTTCTCTAATCGAACAACTATCTGAAAAATTTGCTGTCTCTTATGTGTATGGGGGGAGTGGAAAATAGTTTTGTCATGAACAGCTCTCTGAATAACAAATGGCTCAGTGCCCCTGAAGAGATTCATGAGACAGAGGTTTCTGTGTGAGTCTGGGACCTTGCTTGTGCTGGTATAGACTTCTATATAAATAGGGCATTTGGGTATATATTTCTGAATCTGTGTCCGCTCACTGTTCATTAAAGTAAGGATACAACTTCTTAGACTGTACCAGTCTGTCCAGTAAAAGGATATGGGAATTTTTAGGCAAACTTTTTTTTTCAAGTTTCAAATGTACAGTATGTACATTCTAATTTGCATTTTAGATGCCATGAAAGTGACTGAAACAGCAGAGTATACATATATATGTGTGAAACATCTCTGTGCCCTGGAGAAGTGAATTCTAGAAAAAAAGCACTTAAATCTGGTCAGCTTATTAGGTAGAGTCCAGAGTCCCATGCAGTTCTACTCAAGACATAAATAAGTAGTAAGTCACATTACAAACCATTCAGTAATATGAATTATGGATCGAAAGAGTTGAGTAGTTGTTGGTTTATGGTGTCTTTATGATCTGCTGTTCTGCCACTAAAGGAAAATCACAGGATAAGGCAAGAGAGGGGAAATGCAAACCATGCCCACACTGAGAGCCTTGCTTACACTTACTTGAACTTTCAGTGTCTCGTTCTTGGTCCAAGTTTGAGGGGCATTCTGGCCATCCCTGCCTTTCAGATCAGTAGAGCTGTTTGTGCCGTGGCCAACCCTTTACCTTAATCTGAAGGAAGGGATAAGAGAGAGGGAAATGGCGAATTTGGCAGGATGTGTGTGTGCGCTGAGTTAGCGCCTATCGCTTCCTCATCTCGCAGGCCTGGTTCTAGATTCCAGACATACACTGTTATCTTGACAAAGAGCCACTTAGGTGTGATCATGGGTGTGATGTAAAGCATGGCTCTGAAAAAGATTTAATGAGTATGTGGAGCAGGGCCCATCTCAATGGCACTGGTGTGTACCAAGCTGTGTCCACAAACATTGCTCGGCATGAGGAGCATCAGTGGTGGGCCCAGAGAACTGCGAGTTTGTCTTTAGATCATTATAACTTGCTGCCAGTTTTCATTTGATGATTTCATACAGCTGTAGCAACATGAATTAAAACTCCAAACACCACTCCGAGCCTTCATTTCCATTTTCTAGATTCTTTTTTTAAAGTCACAGGAAAGCTTTAATTTGCCTTTTTACAGAGGTTTTTTAGAAATGGACCTAAAGACTGCAGGACATGTTTTCCAGAAGTAACTAGTAGTTTGTTTGGCTATAGTTACCTTAAAGAACACAATTTTTCTAGAAGGCAGGAACTGCTCATCCCTTTGGTTTGAACGTCAGGCCTCTTCCATATATGCTGGCTTGTGCATCTGGCCATTAGTCATTTTGAAAGTCTGGGCTGAGTTGTGAATCCCAGTCCTTCCTGCACTGTCGTCTCAGCCATTTCAAGGGCTCATTAAATAGATCTGCTAGTTGGAGGAGAGTCCAAAGTGTACCCATTGCTTTTATTTTCAATACAGAAATCCAGATTCTTCACGACACACATTTTGTGCTATTTTTGGCTATGTAGTACTCTGCCATATCTGATTCATTTAATATTTATGGGACGTATTTTCTCTTAGAGGAAGATTAGGAAGAATCCCCATGCCCTTGTCCTTGCAAAGGCCAGGCTGTCATTGTTATTTGGATTACTATTATTTTATCTCCCAGTGTGCTCAGGGGTTTTTTGCAAGCGGCTCAGTTCAACTGTTAAGGTGGTAGAAGTGTATGTATGGACTATGCTCAGTGATCTTTACTGTCCTTTTTGTCTTGCAGATCGAGGGATTTTAATGGCTTTCAGGTAGAAGAAAGTGGAGACAATCAAAATGAATTCTATGGACAGGCACATACAGCAGACCAATGACCGGCTGCAGTGCATAAAACAGGTAAGCTGAAGGTGGAGGTCATTGCTGCAGATGAGTGTTGGGTATTGCATGGCAGGGTGTTGTGCATTACTGTTACCTACTGCTTAATGAACATCCTTGCCCTTTAGAGGGGAGGAGAGCAGTAGGAATGGGACATCAAGTCTCATGGAAGACAGGAACATCTGCTGCCGAGAGCTGGTGTATAAACCTCAAAAGTCAAACTTTCCCTTTCACCTTTCTAAGAAATCTTCAGCCTGGAGAGTCAACAAATCTGTCTCAGCTGGAAGCAGAGTGTTGCTAGTCCTGCCAGCTCTGTTCTGAAGGGGTCACAGCAGGCAGCCATCACACAAGTGCTCTGAGCACAGGAATCCACGATTTTGATGGGCCAGTTTTGATTTTAATCCAGTAGCTGACCTGAGACCTGCACTGCCTGGAGACTCAGAACCTGGACGGTTGGCATGGCTCCAAGTGCTCAGAGTGCTGCCTAATCAGTTTGCATGGAGATTGTAAAAACTTCTGTTTGCAAGGTGAAATTTTCAGAAGCATCTGTTTCTGAAGGGGCCTTATAATTCACTGAAAGGCAATGAGATCTAAGTCTCACTTACAGATTTCCTCACTGTAACTCTGCTTGCAAATGCTTTTATAACCAAGTGAATCTACAAAGGCAAGGATGGAACAGGCAGAGGCCATCTTTCCCTGCTTTACCCTTCTCAGTGAGCTTTGCTCTCTGGGGTTGCAGGCAGTGTATATTCTCCCCCCTACGTATGTTCTTACCCATGTTCAAGAATCCTAACAGAACTTTCATAGCAGTGGTCCTTTGTAGAGGAGGTGAGCAAGAGAATGGTTTCTCGTGTTGATAGTTCATGTGTTTATCCCTAAACCAATGCATGCATGCAGCATTCAGGCACGTAAATGCAAATTGCACACAGGTATTTTGAAGATCCCAGCTGGATCCAGGAGATGAGCTCCAAAGTTCATCTCTTCAGACTGGTTGAAATTTTCTGAATTACATTGGAAAAACAGAAATATGTTATTTCAGGCAATAATGTTCCCAAATCGTTTTTCCCTTTTGTCTGAGGAGTTTTCTCTGTCAGCTCAGGTCACAGCATATTTAGAGGCCAGAGTCCTGCTGTTTTAGTTTTTCATTTGTATTAACTAAGTTAAAAACCTACCTGCCTACTTGTGCTCTGGGACAGGTGCATATTGCTTCTTGAGGGAGTACAGCATTTCTCTGTTCATAGATTTGTGTTGTAGACACAAGCACCCTAAATCAAAGGAATTGATAAATGATAAATGTGGGAATGGTACTGTATCAGTCTAGATTTTTATACTTTTTTTTTTCTTTTATCTACAACTTCTTCCAGAGGGGCAGTGAAGGGGAAGGTGCTAATTTCCCCTTGGAAAGGGTGAGCAGTGATAGGACACAGGAAAATGGAATGAGGCTGTATCAGGGAAAGTTCAGACTGGACATTAGGAAGAGGTTCTTCACTGAGAAGGTGGTCAGTCACTGGAACAGGCCACCTAGGGAAGTGGTCACAACCAAGGCTGTCAGAGTTCAAGGAGCATCCAGATGATGCTCTTAGTTTTATGATTTAGTTCTTTGATGAGCAGGGAGGTGGACTTATTGATACTTACGGGTCCCTTCCAACTTCAGGTATTCTTTGATTCTGTGATTGTATGTTTCTCTTCTCTTAGCTTCATCAATCTCCATCCTTATGTTTTGCCAGCTTTGCCTAGATATTAGTGGAAGTTTATATTTTCTAGAATGTGTGGTGATGCAGAAATGTGTGGGGTTTTTACAAGTTTGGCCATGCAGATACTTTGGGTAATATAAAAAAAAATACAGCTCACACCTAACCCAGCTAATTTTTCTCTATATATTTCCTTTATATGAGAGGATTTCAGAATAAATCAAACAAAACCAGTTCATAAGTCAAAGAGCAGAAATAGGAATCTGTTCCTGCAGAATTGCTGGTCATAGTCCAGCCTTGATCTGTGGTGTCTCTCCCTCTTTCACCCCTCTATGATGAAAGTTAATGCATCTAATGGCCCTTTAGAGGCCTGAGGGAAATACGAATTTGGGGATTTCATACCACTTTCTTATGAACAGCTATCTGGTTCAGGAACAAGTGCCCTTGACTGGCACAAATTGGTGTCCTTTTTGGCCATCCTAGCCCATAGAATGAAAAATGAATGTTAAATTGCAGACCAATTTAACCTTCTAGCTGTAAGAACAGACCTTTACATCATGTGGAGACAAATGGAGGATGCCACTCTGTTCCTTTTTCTAGAACTGTTGGTTTCTGTACACAATTTATATTATTTTAATTAGATAAGAGAATATCATATTACACTTCTTACAGTTTTAGAGATATTTCTGCCTATATAAGGGGTACTCTGTCTGTTAAACCACTAGCTTCATTTATACAAAGCGCTGGTTTACATGTGCAGCTCGGATATTTCTTCAGTTATGAAGGCCAAGGGGGAGGGAGGAAGGTCAGACTGCCTAGCATTTGTGTAGCATTCTCTGTTTTGTTTGATCTGTCTGGAAGAAAGCTCAGGATTTTCTAGTGGACCCAGGGGCATGATTGTGTAGCTGCTCTGTTCTGTCAGAGTGCAAAGGATGCCTGATGAGGAGGTATCCTGCTTGGGAGTGCTTGTGAATTCATGGTTCCTCCATTCTGTTTAGGCCCAGTAAGAGGAGAGGGATATTCTTGTTTTTAACTCATGACAAAGTGTAGTTAACCAAGACAGTGGCTGAACACCAAAAATATGTCACAGAAAGCTTTTTTGTGAGAGTGGCAATATTTGTAGTTTTGTTGGAGAGGAATGACTGATTTTATTTCTTTTTAATATTTTGTTTTGTTGATGAAGGTAGCATCAAAACTGCTATTCACTTTTTCATAGTTCTAAAATCTGGTGCTGTTACCTTTGCCATAGTGGAGAAAGAGACAAACTTACTTTGACTAGATTTTTTTGAGGACATTCACCTGTCTGTCACAGGGTCATAAATTTGCAGCTTGGAGACATTTACCTTGTTCTTTGAGACAGGTCATTAGCTGGCAAAGTTAACATGGTAATAGAAAGAATAATTTCAATGAATTCACCCACTGAGAACTGGACTGCATACTGTTATGTATGTGTTGGTTTTGGGAGCAAAGCAGTACCTTGCATGGCCATGTAAATGTATCTTCACCAATTCTGGGATTTAACTGAAGGGTCAGACAAAAATCTGTCTGCCTTTTCTTCCTGGTCTCATCTTTTATCCGTTTTTCCCAGCCTGTGAACAAACAGTACAGCTGTTCTCCTGAAGGCACGTACACTTTTGGAATGGTTAACACAGCAGTGGTGTAGAGGGTGCACTGTTTTGGGGAGGAAAGCCATCCTTCCTTGGTGCCCAGCATCTGCATGTTTTATAACCTGGTTGGCAGCCAGTGGCTCATGCAGCCAGACTGAGAGCTGTCTGCCGCCCTTCTTACCCCTCACTCCAGCCCCAGAGAAATGCTATAAATGGTAATCCATGTGCCTCTTTAACTAGATCAGGTTTCAACACAGGGTCAGGACAGGCTTCTTTCTTCCCAGCTCTGTGACTTGTGAGACACCCACAATATCCTTGCTGACTTCTGTTCCAGGATCAAGGTTGTGTTTTACCTTCATCTTTTTTAGTGCTTTAAAGCTACAAACCCAAAACTTGTATATGATCAGCTAGTTAGGAAATGAAGTGTGTGTTAAGAAGTGTTCCAGAATAGATGAAAGGGCAAACCGAAGAGGTGGCTGTGTATTTATGCTTAAAAAAACCCCAGACTTCTGTGGAAGGCTGGAACAGCTTGTGTGGTCTCTTTGTAGCTTATTCCCTCAGTATTTGTAAGTGTATGTGCTTTAAAATCAAACATAGCTTTTTTGATGTACAGTAGAAAAAGCCAAAGTAACAGGCTTTCCTAATACATGCAATTAGTTTCTCATGGCACAGGAGACTCTTCAGGGTATGTTGAAGGAAGCTGGATCTTCAGGGTGCAGGCTTTTTTCTTTAACTCTGTCCATACAAACAAAAACACAGAATGATTTTTGTGCACAGTGAAGGTCTGATAGCCCCTGAGAAGTGCCCTATTTGAGGCTGCAATAATAATCTGTTTATGTTCTGAGTATCTGTGGCTCGGGTAGTTCTGGTATGATGTCCACCACGGAGCTTCAGGGCAGTAGGAGCTGGCTCAGATGGGCACAGAGCTGATTTTGAGAGCTTCCTTGCTGCCCAGGACCCAGGCACAGCCTTCTGAAGGAGCATAGAAAATCCCAAAAAGAATGGACTGGGTTTCTTAAACCATTCTTCATAACAGACCACAGGTGTGGCTTTAACCAAACACTGTCCATTGTTTTTGTAAGGTATTTTGTAAGCAAATACCAGGCAAAATCATTGAATTGGGTCACGTCTCTCTGTTCTTACCACTTGAAAAACTTATAGCTGTTTTAAATCTAGGGATTTCTACCTTTTGTGTTTCTGTTTCCTGTCAGTTTGTAAGGTTTCCTTATCTCTCTTCTGAAATTCTTGAAAAGAGGAAGAAAGAAAAAATCTTTCTATATTTAAATTACAAGAAAGCTGCCCCTTTTCTGAATGATTGTGTGATACCTTCCTGCCACGCTGAGCACAGTTATCAGACCCTGTACTAAAGCTGTGCTGAAATTTTAGTAACAGTTTAAGGGGAAGTAGGAAAAGGCTCTCTGGTGTCAGAAGTATTAGGTTGTGGTGGGAACAGGGGAAGTTGTTTCTGCTGCTTGTGTCACGGTACATCAGGACACATTGAGAAATATCATCAAATGATGCTGGATCACTCAGGCAACCCCACTTAATTGGAGGCACACGTCACACAGCTGATTTCTAGAAAAAGATTAGCATTTCTCCCCTCTTTCCTTCCAGAAAGCTTGCTGAATTGCTGCAGTTGCAAGGCTTTATAATGCCTACCCAGCCGTTCAGAGAGATATGCTAGAGGTTGTAATTGCTGTGCGGTTTTGTTGATATTTTCTTG